TACTTAAAAATACTGAAAATATCCTGAATGTGACTCTTCAATTCTACACCGTGATGAAGCAGGGGGTATATCACAGTAGGACACTCTCTTCTATTATTATCTACTCTTGATATAATAATACATTATGATACAGTGCGTATAGCGGGAAATTTTGGAGGGAGTAAAATTTAGCAAATTGCTAAATTTTAGTGATTGGCAGATTTTAATTTGACAAATTTGTAGCCACATGCCATTGAGCATGCATATAATGGCTCAAAATTATGGATTTTTATTTTGGCAAATGGCTATCAAAATGCCAATTCGCCAAATTTAATTGCTTTCAAAATTATCCAAAACATACACGTGTACATGTACATATGTCATGTATTCAATATTCAATATTTCTTCTCTTTATGTATTTAATGGTAAAAAACCATTTAAATGTATGTACATGAACATGCATTTAAATGTATTTTTAACAGCTCAAATGCTCATGTAAAAAAAAGTACATATAATTTACATACTCTCTCTCCCTCTCCCTATTATTAGTTCAAAATAGATTCTGTCATGGATTTTGTCACAAAATCCATGACAAGCAAAACCCATTAACCATTTGTTAATGGTTAATTTGGGTTAATTTGTTAATTAACCCAAAAACCATTTGTGACAAGCCATTAGTTTTATTGGCAATGGTATTTTGAACTCAACATCTCATTTGACGTGCAAATTTTAAAAAGATTATATTGTACATGTATTTAAATTATATTTTTAACAGCTCAAATGTTCAATGCATGTACATGTAATTTATTGTCCCTCCCTCTTCCTCCCTATTGTTAGTACATGAGTCTGAATTGAGTCACCAGCTTCAACACTTAGCGGAACAAGTTGACACTTTCTCTCAAGCTCATCGTATCAAGAACTCAAACAGAAAATGAAATTCGCTAATCAAGGCTTTCTGTGAATTTTACTATCATCTCTCTCTCCTTCAAAACTTTCAAGTAACTACTTCAGTATCCTACATGATAATACCCAAGGCTATAGCCCATGGTTTTTTCCAAAAAATGGCTCCAAAATCACCCCCAATTTTTATTACATTTTCTGATACATATTGATGCACTTATGCTGTGTAGCAAGTTTGAGCTGATTCCGACTTCAATTTTTCGAGTTATGGCCATTTTAAAAACGCCCAAAATCTGAAAAATACCCAAGGCTATAGCCCATGGTTTTTTCCAAAAAATGGCTTCGAAATCACCCCCAATTTTTATTACATTTTCTGATACATATTGATGTACTTATGCTGTGTAGCAAGTTTGAGCTGATTCTAACTTCAATTTTTCGAGTTAAGGCCATTTTAAGAAAATGTCAAAATTCTGAAAAATACCCAAGGCTATAGCCCATGGTGTTTTCCAAAAAATGGGCCAAAAATCACCCCAAATTTTTATTAAATTTTCTGATACATATTGATGTACTTATGCTGTGTAGCAAGTTTGAGCTGATTCCGACTTCAATTTTTCAAGTTACGGCCATTTAAAACATACACATGTACATGTAATATTATGATTCTATTATTAGAATCATTTCTTATTTCTATTTTAGACTGAATCACACTGGCTTCACAGCAAAGAAACACTTGAGAAACACGACAAAGTCAGTATCTATAGTTTTACACGTACATGTACATTAATTAATTAATTTATTTATTTATTTATTTATGCATGTAACAATTTAGCTTGCAAGTTCAGATCGTGGCAACAAATTTTTCAAAGAAAATGTTGAGAAATCGTATTTTCACAAATCGAAAGAGATCAACGCCCTCATTCAAAGAACTGAAGTATGAAGAAAAACAATAACTTTAGTTTTTGAATTACTCTGTATTTTTATCCTTTCCCCTCTCTTCACAGGACATTATGATAAACCAACTGGAGAATGGTAACCGTGGTCGGGCCATGGCAAAGCTCCGTGTCCCCCAACTGGGCGGAGTCTCTTCACCATGGGCTATACTGGCCAGTGGCTGGCTAATGGGAGCCATTTTTATATAATGGCAGTAGTCGCCATTATAGCTTGTAAGAGTAAATATACATGTACATGTATTTTATTATTATTATTATTATTATTGTTACATGTACACAGGTGTATATCGGAACCGTAGTCCCTTACCATGGTCCCCTGACACTGGTGTGTTACTGGGTCTTTGGTCTGGTTTGGTTCTTTCGGTTTGGTTCTTCTCTTTTGCCGCTAATACTTACTTCTGGAGGTACTTTGACGTCAATAACGTCTTGATATTTGAGTTTGATCCGAGAAATCATCTCAACTTTCAACAATTGTTTGCAGTAAGAGAAACATGCAAATATTAACTGAATCTACATTTAGCAAAAGTTTTAAACTTTATTAATATGCTTATTTATTTTACTGTTTTAAAATTGCTTTATAAATTAACTAAAACTGTATCATTAAACTATATTTTTCTTAACAGGTAGCGTCATTCATGGGCATTATTTGGAGTTCTGGATTATTATTCTTTTTATTTGCCGACTGGTTACACATACCGTATTATGTTGGTCCTGTCTCCACATGGGTAGTCTGGCCGGTCCTCTTCTCATTGCCAGTACCATTCTTATACTGGAGGTCTCGCTGGTGGCTTTTTAAGGAAATGGTAAGTGATGAATGGGCAATGTGGCTTTTGGAAATTGGAGCAACTTTAAAAATTCATTAAAATTCCAGTTTTGATTGGAATCAATTCAAA